TTGTAATTGATCGTATTTTTAAATACAATATTATAAATCACCACTATCACAACTGAAGGTTTCATGACGGCATATCTTTACATTATAATGTATACCTCTGTTGGAATGTCAATTGATTTCAACAAAAGTTTAAATAAAGTTATTCAATTCAGATGGTGGCGGGTTATAACAACAATAATGAATCCCCTGAGCGTCACAATGGTTACGATTATGGTCTAGACGCCTCACACATTATATTGCCCTTGACCAATTGGCGTTATTGTGGTTTCCTTATCGTTTGGCATATGTTACGTACCAGTGTACTAGAAGTAAATCTCGCTAAAACGTGCCAAATTCCACGGTATCTAAGTTGAAGCGCCATGGTTGGTATTGGTTGCATAAACACGTACTGTATACAGCAGTAGACAAGGTGATACCAGAGTTAGTTTTTGTCTGTGAGTCAGCGACTTTTAGAGGTCAAATAATCATGCTATATATAGAACAATAGAAGGCTATAGAAGGCTGAAGGGAACCATGCCTCCATTTATCAAAAGAAATATGCTATAAAAATATTCGAACTTTTGCTACGCAATGCACGAATAATTTCAAGAATGGGTAACGTGTGTGTCAGTTCGACTACTGTGCGTTCGAGTCCAACCATTGAGGCTTCTTGTTACCACAATACAACTTGTTCAGTGTTACATCTGGGTTCAAATATTAGATACAGGCCGAGTACGCGGTCGCTTCTGGGGTTATGTCGTTGTTACCGCGAAGGTGATTTCATAGACACGAGTCCTTTCAATATCATTGAGCAAATGTTATTCTGAGGAAAGAACTATGTACTCTTTTCCCTCATGGAATATGTTATAACAGCCTTGGATATTTTATTATTCTGAACGCGTGTGTACGAGTAATGAACGTTCCGAAATGCATATTGAAAACATGAATGGTGGGTGATTTATTCAAAGCTGCATAACGATCACTTAATGAATATTCATGATCTACCGCTGAACATAATATAGTTTGAAAGCCAATAGCTGATGTCTTATTTTACGTATATCCTGTAGCAACTTTGAGTTCGCAGTGGTTACTTATTGGTACCACTAACCTTTTAATAGCGTTAGCCAAGTGAAGGAAATTGAATATACAAGACAGGTACACTAAACTATACTGTCAATTGGCAGGTCCGGGAAGACATGGGTCCGTAATTTATTGGAACTTGTCACAACAATATATACTGGATCTCTTTATAATGCTATTGGTTTGTACAGAGCTGGTGAGTTCCAACTTTTCTATATCATGCATGTGGGGCTATTATATCAGAGCACACAGGAAATAAAATGACAAATCATCACATTCAATAAATGCCATTGACATGTTTTAAATTGTCACAAATAAACATGGCAATGTTTCAATCAATTATGTAAAACTTACACATATAACATAATTTTACTTGTATTTGTCGCTATTGTAAGTTAATTGTATTATATTTAGCATTATGTCAACATCGAAAGCCTTTTGTTATTGTAATGTTTATTATTATTCTTATTCTGCCGTTTTTCACAATTTTCAAAACTCTTGACCTGAAACTTTACAGACACAATCTATATGCAATTTTCTAAAACGTCAAAGTTTTTCGATTTTGATATGTGACGTCATTCGGCCGCCATCTTGGGTTTAGTAAAACCCGGAAGTGCTCGATTGCACCACTTTCTGAGGGTCTAGGATCTCTAAATTTGTTTATGTAGCACCTGTGGTATGTGCTTACCAATATTCATGAAAAAAAACTTGAGTGAACATGTGACCTCTGCCGCCATATTTTTTTCCTCATATCCTCATATGGTCAAAAAATCACTAAAATAGATATGCCATAAAATTACTGCCCGAATGACATGAAACTTAGTATACATGTAGAGAGTAACAGTTTCATGACTGCCTACAAAAATGTACTGATTGCTAGAGTTGACCATATATGGTCATAGAACTCATTAAATATGCATGTCTCTAATATCCAAGCACTATTGCATGTACAAACATGGAACCAACGCTATATTGAAGGCATTGGACAAAAGAAATTACAAACATGTTCAATGACCATATATGGTCAATGAACTGATTAAATATGCATGTCTCGAATATCTCAAGCACTATTGCACATACAAACAGGAAACCAATGCTATATTGAAGACATTGGACAAGAGAAATTGCTAAAATGTTTAGTGACCATTTTTGGTCATACAACTCATTAAATATGCATATCTATGATATCTACAGCACCATTGAAGTTAGAGACATGGAAATAACGCTATAGTGAAGGCATTGGATAAGACCATCGTGTTACCTACATGTATATAGATTGCACACATGAAATCTTTCAAACTTTTTTTTTCAAATTCAATGGTATTATGGCCCTTTACTTGAAAGCCGGTTAGACTGGTCCCAATATAGTGTGAACTGGTCATGGTTTACCATATCAGTACCTTTCCTCACCTGTTAGCAAAATTGTGACCTGTTTGCCATATAGTGTGATCAGTTCACCAAGCTGTGATTAGATCAACATATATTGTGATCAATTTGCCTACAGTATATAGTAAACTGATCACAGTACATGTCTCCATTACCCTAGAAAGTGTAATGTCATAACTATGTTGCATAAATGCAATTCTGTGCTAATGCAGGCATTGCATCGAAAGCCGGTAATCGCTACTTGAAGCTATATTTATTATTATATTTTATAGAATTTATTGGCGAATACGACGACCCCGAATTTATAAATGTCACGGGTTCGCTCTAACATTTGATAGTGGAGTAATACTAATCGGAAATCCATACGACTCACTCATATCGTTTTTTACATTCAAAACAAAGTGCATAATGGCAAAACAAAATGCCGAGGGCTTTAATAACAGTAAGTGTTTTAAGTTTATTATTTTGTCATGATTTATATTTTCATGTATTTCGGTGAGGCCGCTTTTTGTAGTCATAGCGACATTCACTGATGACCCCTGGATAATCCACACCTGCTCGTAGCTTGTCATGATCAGGTTCATTCGTATGTTAGGGAATTAGTGATTGGAACAACTGGCTGATATAATGGTCGACTATGGAAGTTGGTTAAGTCAACGAGACGCCTATAAGTATGAGAGTTATGTCCCGACATCGGGGTCAATTAATTATGGCGTGTTGAATACTTTGCGTGATTGGTTATATGTGTGGAGGCCACGCCTCGAGCTCTTAAACTTCTCTGTAATGATTGGCTAACAGTTGGAATGTGAATAAAGCTGATCTCAGTTAGTTGTGGCAAGCTCTCGACAAGGCCGAGTCTTGAGGCGGCCGTGGCAGAGTTACAACGTGGCTGAGACCAAATGTGACACGATTAGATTCTCTGTGTGTCTTTGTTCGATAGAAAGGTGGAGAATTCCCCGAACTTGGTACCTCTGACGTGAAGGTTTAATAACACTCAAATTAATTTCACAATTTCGTCCACGTTTCATTGTCATTCACACCGTTATTCATTGATTTAATTTCTCTTAAGTTTTACTTAAGTTCCGGGGGAAAATCTATTATTATACTACAAAGAACTGACGCAACACCCGATGCAGGACTTGAGAAAATATTGAATTTTCAGAACGTCACATTCACCCCGGAACGTTGTCGGTGCGTTGCAAAGGACATAGAGGGCAAGTTTCATAGGCAGTATAAGGAGGCATTCCAATTCGACCCATACACTAAAGAAATGCATGTAATTATGGATGCAGATATTGAAATTGCAAACAGACTATTGAAAAGTATAAGAATCATACCTTGTGTGTTCTACACAATTGGTGTAATTTCGAATTATATCATGGTAAAAACATTCCCGCTGATAGCACCATTCATAAAGATGGCAGAGAACAGATACATCGTATGCATATTTGTGTTTAATGTTAGATCAGACTGGCACTATGTGTATGGGCACATGCTTGTCACACAAAACACAACATATATTACAATATGGTTGATAATTGACAACCTGTTTTTATTGAGATTAAAAGTGATTCAATTTAAAAATTAGTACCAATCAAATGCATATGAACGCCTAAAATACGCGTGTAAATTCCACAGTGAAAATCATTTACTTCATTGTTATAAGTGTGTATATCCATACGTACCATACATTATTCAGTATTATATTATATTATAGCATTGCCAATACCAGCGAATTTTATGACGTCATTACCACAGATTATTCGCGATACTGTATTGCATTATTGAGCATCAAGGCTTGAATACAGGGGGCATGCGCCACCAATATTTTGAAGACCTTCCTGTCGTTGAGCTCGCCGACTTGCTGCGGGTACAGTACAGCAAGCCGTCGCTGTCTGGTTTACGAGCTTCAATCCATCGACACATCACTGGTCCTCCCGATCATCGCTAAATTAACATCACGTAGGATAGGGAGTTCAAAGTTTGTCTATTTTTTGTATACGTGTTGTGTTGGCCGCTGCACACTGTATTGTGCTTGTGTGTGTGAATGGGAATTCCAAGGCCAATATCATGTAGACGGGATTCTGTTGAATGTTTCTTCCAAATTATCTTAGTTTTAACGTATGAAAATTCACTGACATTGCCAATGCAACAACATAATAACAATAATGTACTCCCCGGTGGCTCATAATGCTCGACTACGCCTTGCACATTATGTCGTGCAGAATGTGCTTTCGTTCATTATGAGCCACCATATATGGAGTACATTATTGTTTTAAAAATGTTACTTTGCGAACAATGCGCACACAATGATGTATTTTTAAGCTTGTCTACTTACATAACACATATAGCAGGGCAATGATGTCAAAGTAAAAACTTATTTAAATATACCGAGAACAATTATAGCAATTTCTGCGGAATTTTCTTCAAATAAGAAGAAACTGCTTGTGATCTTTAGTAATTTGGAAAGCGTCTCTGGCACAATTCCCTGATTTCCACCAAAATCACTGGTCAATTAACACGCTTTATTAAATAGTGTGATCATCTAAACGTTTCTATTGTGCTGATGCTCCCCAGTCCACATGAATGAGGGCGCCCGTTATTTCATCAGCAGAGGTGGAACAGAGAAATGCGGCGACCTCGCCAATCTGAAAAATATAACGTAAAATATATTTATATACAGGTTAAACGTCGATTGATAATTAATAATCATAACTAATATTGCACTGAGGGTGTTACAATGTATTATTTGGCGATCCATGTACGACTTGTAAGGGGCCAACAATTGTAAAGTAACATGTACTTTTCTGTATCATCAGTTTTGTATATATTCATATAATTACTCACGACAGTGTATTTTAAAACATAGAACTAATTTTGAGCTGTGTCACCAAGGTTTCACAAAATATTATACAAATTAGCCATTACTCGGACATATTCGGCGATTGTACTTAAAATGTACAGTTTATTCAATATGGTGGAATAAGCGATTTTTCCCTTATTTTTAACAGGTCAGTTGTTATAAAAAAAATGATAAAACACTGTACCTTATCAGGGTCCAATAGTTCACCAGATGGATTATTTTGGTTCACGAAATTTCTCTAGTAATTAATAAAAAATGTTAATAATAAAGGCTACAAGTGTATATACACTAGTATGACATGGATAGCGTTGGTACCAGATCACTTTGAGAGATAAAGTCTGGCTGAGTTACATTGTGTTTGTATCTGAGATGATGTTATACCTTTATTTTTTTTAATGGTATTCCTGTTTCATCTGATGCGGCTTTGACAAATCTCTCCAAACCTGAAAACATGTAAAAAACCTAATCTTTAAAATTAGGTGAAATATGGTGGATGGTGGTCCAGCATTATGGAGTGAATTACTGCAGTTAAAATTGCTCAGTGATTTATTATGCGTTTACCTACTTGCGGTCTTCACTATAGCAGGGCAGATGGCGTTGCATGTAACCCCTGTGCCAGATGTTTCTAAGGCCACTGTCTGTAAAACCAATTTTTAAAAAGTCACACTCACTGTTAACATTTGAAAAGACATGGTTTCAATCATCATTTACTATACTACCATAGTCTGTTTGATGGGTAGTTATGCGGTTCAAACAACACAATTATATGAAATATGCGTTATATGGTGTATTTTAATAATATTTAAAAATATATACCTAATTTGAACACATGCGAACTTGGCATTTGGTAATATGGCAATTACGCATTTAATATTTGAATCAGTAATCCATTGTTCATATGTATATGAAGTTTATTATGATAAATTCCAGTCTACAATATGCAATCTCAACTGGTTTCACAAAGTCAAAACTTTTCATATCTGACTACAGATCTTAAAACGTTAATGGTCTCCGTTTAACGGTCAGATCAGTAACAAGCTACTTGTTTTTGCTTCACAACTAATATTCTATTCTCTCCCATCTTCGGAACAACTGCTCCAAATATTATAGTGTCACGAGTTAGAGAAACAGTTATCCTCGTGGCGGAGGAAATGAACACTGTTTGAAATGCAAAAAAACAAGTTTTGTTTGTAACTATTATCCTGACACGTGAACATATCCAGAGAGCACGTTAAGGTGACAGACACACCAAAACAATATTGTACAACACGTCGTATTTTATACCACGTCCTATCGAACGACTAACTATTAGAAATCACTCAGTAATCAACGCCATTTGCAATAATCTAAAACAGTTCTCCACAAAATCATGTTTGTCTTAGATTATTCCAATTTGGTAATCTTAAAGTGACCGATGGCGTAACACTGTTATGGATCGTTAAAATTATTGTAACTATTGTAATATCAATGCAATACACTTGTGAATATATTTTCACGATAATGTACGTGCATTTAGTAATGTTTGTTTCACATCACCTAATCGTACCTTGGTTAAACCGTTAATGCCATGCTTGTATGCAATCATACCACTCACATTAGGGCATCCTCTTTCACCCCAAATAGAACTGTTATTGATAATTCTTCCCCATCCTGTAAGATAAAGATAACACTTATATGTATTGAAAACAAGAAGGATTATGCATTATAACAGGTGTATTAAATTATAGATAAAACAACAAAGTGAATCTCTTGATAACTTACATAATATTTCTAATGTCACCAAAATCGACAGTCCGCGCCATGCATAATCGAATGAAAATACTTTCATTTTTTGATTCTGAAAATAGCAATGAACTACACACTCCACACAAACTTGCTGAGGGAGAGGCTATTGAACTAAGAACAATATACTAACGCTCGGTTAATTATTACTTCATTTCCCTTAATAAAATGTAAATGAATGGAAAATAACGAAAAGAAGCGAGCTGTATAAATTGAGTAGTAGGAACACCACACCGGATAAATCACGCTACGAGCTTATTTGATTCATTGTAAAATTATATTCTACATAGTACGAATTCAGTTTAGCGACCTCTCCTGGGACAAACAAAAATGAAACAGATTTCATCAAATTCTCAACATATATCTTATTAATAATAACTTGCTGTGTCTTACCTTTCTGTTTCATGTTTGCCAATGTTAAACTTGTCAAATAAAAAGCTGATGTCAAATTAACACGTAATTGTTTCTCCCATCTGTCAATTCCATAATTTTCCACTGGTGCAGTGACTAAGATTGCTAAACAAACAAATCGATGGTTTTTATATCAATAAATTACATATATTAATTAGGATAGGACGTTGAACTCGGCTGTCGTAGAGAGACATTAAAAGATTATGCGATACAACGTCACATAATTATAATTCAACCGTGGGGTTACTTGGTGTGGCTGTAATAACTTACCGGCGTTATTTACAAGGATGTCAATGCCACCAGAGTACAGATGTTTAATGTTGTGGAAAAGAACCAACACTTCTTTTAGGTTACCAAAGTCAGCACGAAAATAATGAACAGGTACTTCGTATTGACTGGAATAAACATTTGAATTAGTAACAAAATCATTTTTTTCATGTGTACATAAATGTATATTCTACAACACACAGTGAAACATTCTGGCGCTGTACATATAATTAGTGAAATTCAAGATGGAAGTCACAATCCGTGGTGTTGACACTATAGTCAAATTCAACATTTAAACCTAATTTAGTTTAAATTAGGATGTCATACTTTTATGCAGTTTATATTCACATTAGTAAACGTAGCTTTTGTTGTCATGTCAACTCACTATATTATTAACTAGAGTTTTATCTGGCAATACAACTAAAATTACCTTTGTAAGTCCTCCCGTATATCTTCAACTTTGTCACCGCTTCTGCTGCCATGTAACACTATACTGCATCCACGCTGTGCAAGACTTCTGGCAATAGATATACCTATGCCTTCTTTATCACTCGATCCAGTTACCAAGGCAACCTTTCCTTGTATGCCAGTGTGCACTCTTCTCTGTCTCTCATTTTTGGAATTTTCAATATAAATATAAATAAATGAAGTTTTCTTATTCATGTCTCGCTTATCATTAGAAGATTCATTTTACATTTGCTATCCCTAGCAACACAACCATGACAACACGGGTTACCCAGAAGGCTAAAAAAAAGATGTATACACTATGGTGTTTACGCATTAATCTTGAATTTGATCAGCAACAGTAAATAATGGTCTAGAATGGAATATAATGCTGTCATGTTTTTATGCAGTTTATACGTATATTAGTAAACATAGCTTTGGTTTTCAGTTATTTAAATTCCAAAAAATACTTGTTCGCAAATTATGTGACACATTCAAAGAGGGCAATGTCATGCACTGTAATGCAATGCTCAAATTCAAGCATAAAGAGAACTAGTTTGCACGAATAGATTAAAAACTGCATACTGCCATACTGTTCTATATCTGACTTGGTGTGCAGCAAGTATTTCGATTGACCTATTTACCACCAGTGTTTTTCTGTACCTCTGTTGTATATGTATGTCATACTATGGCAACAGAAAGTTGATTTAATTTTAGTTATCGACACGAAACGGTCAATATTTACATCAAACTCTTTAACTACATAGAGGACATTCAGTGTATGTGCCCGTGTTCGCTGTAGGAAGTCACGTGTACTTACAATTGAACTGGATATAAATCGTCTCGCAAGTCTTGCTAGAGAGTGGCAATTATGCGTCGACGCCATGTCAACGTTACCTAGTTTTGTGCAGCGATTTTAAACAGGGAAGCGTGACATTCTTGTTCGGGTAGCAAAAGTGTTATTTTGAGACCAGTCAATATATAACCCCGGGGTATAGCCCGGCACAGGTCAACGAGGTTATATATTAGACTGCATGTAGCCTTTGACCCGTAATCTTAAAACTCCCTAACTAGCTTTAAAAATAACAAATATAACACACCAACACAACATTGGGTCGTTTTGGTCATCGCTGGTCACCATGTTTCCCAGGAATCTTGCAAATATAGATTGGATCGCAATTACTGTAGGTAAATAGTCTCTCACCCCCTAGTTAGGGATTGGTCAGCTACTTCAGCCGGGGGGGGGGGTCGGCAGATTCCATTTTGCCAGCTTTAAATCCCAGTTGACCCACCCTATCCAATGAAAAAAAGTGGGCGACCCACCACATCATTATATATTAAAACATGCTGACCCCCCCCCCTTAAAAATAAAGAAACTACATTAACAGTTTTGGCTCTGATATGATTACAAAATGTATTATATGTGCTGTGAAAATATCATGGTTTGCCATAATTTTGGGATAATTTTTAGTGTTTGCATTTAATAGACCTTAACGACTTCAGAAAAAGGCTGCAGGAAGGAGGGCAATTTATGCTGCTGGAGATTGTAAATAAAAACAAATGTGGAATACTCACTTGATAAACGCCCTTATAAAATAAGAAAAGAAGATTTGAATCTAGGTGGTTTGATCACTTTGAAAACTAATTTGGATTTAAAATATCTTTCATATCTTATTGACCAGGAATGATTTACACCCGATGCACAGTCTGTGCTTATGAAAACAAAGGAAACTTTGATTTTTGTTATTGATATTTTACAGAGCAAAACATGCGTATTTAAAAGTTAAAAAAACACTATTTATTTATTTATTTATTTATTTGTTCATCATTTATTTCAATTTACCGGTATATATCAGCATTTTCACAAATTTAACTTTTTTGATTTGTTGAACAAAAACTGTCACAGCTCTTAGTACTAAATGCCGTGTTGTCATTCCGTCTCCTGTTATAATTGGATAAATCAAGTAAATATCTTATACAATGGTGACTTAATCTGATAATCTTAATAATCTGATATCAGCAGCACATGGACTTGGGATGTGTTTAAAACTTAACAGTATAATTGGAGCTCAAGCCACATTGCATAATCTGTTAGTTATTTGGCAACTTTAACCTCAAAATATTTAGCCTATAACTTTTTTTTCATCAACAAATTTATAGGTAATAGTTATTATTGAGAACACATTTGTACGATTAACTTTATTATTTTTGTTCTGAAATATTTTTTTAAAAGTGTATGCATATGCGTGTGTGAATTCTGGAAAACATGGTGACCCCACGCTATTCATGATGATAATAACCTTTATCGATATCTTATCCCTTCTGGGATCTAGATTAGAATACAATAAGGATATAAGGAACAATAAAATATATAAGAAATACTAATAATTAAAAAAAATAGTAAAATAAATAGTAATACTGTGAAAATATTATTATATAAATAGTTTTTTTGGTGTTTTTTGCGGCAGCTGGTAAATTGCTTTTCATGAAGTTCTCTCTTTAAGTAAAACAGTCACTGATACACTTGGAAATTGCTTGGACAGTTTCAGAATTTTTGTTATTGAGAAATGCTTTCAGATTACCGGATAGGTTTAAGTTTTCAAACAAAGCATCTCTTTCAAATTTGTACAGGTTACAATTGAAGAGGAAGTGTTCTTCATCTTCAGTTTCATTGGAGTCACAGACAGGGCATGTTCTATTTGAGATAATTATGCTGTGATAGCGCCCAAATTCAATCTGAAGTATGTGGGCACTTATCCTCAGTTTAGTCATAGATGATCTGTGGATGGGGTTTTTAATAAATTCAAGGTATTTTTCAAGTGTAAAGTCAGTTTTCAGCTGTCTTTAGGTACGAGGTTTACGTTTGTGATTAGTGCCTTTATTGTCGTTATGCATTGTTTCTGTGCAGTGTTATTCAAACATATTTTTAGTTGTTTTGTAGCTAATGAGATAATACTGTTTTTTTCGCAAACATCGCCAATTTCTAAAAGGTTCTGTAATTTTTGATGCCTGTGGTCCAATTACTGATGTTTTCTTTGTCCAAATTGGTGCCAAGTTTATAGACTTCAATCAGAGTGTTTTCGTGTATGTGTTTTATTTTTACCCAGTAGTTAATCATACGTTTGATGCTTGAGATGATAAGTGGATATCTTCCCAGTTCAAGTGAACATGCAAAGTTTGTAGCTTTACAGTTTACTTGTAGTAGGTACTTACACATTTTGTATTTTTTTCCATAGGCAAGGATTGTTTAAACAAGTCTGTTGAGTGCAGATTTCACTACAGTAGAGTAAAATTGGTTTAACCATAGCATCAAACAATTTCAGATGTGTTTTGATTGGAATATTTGATTGGAATGATATCAAAAACATGGTGACTCCCATTCATGATATCAAAAACTGGGTGACCTCGCCTATTCGCAAAATCCCTCTCTACTGATCCACCGACACACCCCAGGCCGAACCCATATTACAGAGAGACTGTGGTTATTACAGGTATAACTGATTTTTCGTCGCCAGAGTGATTCACATCCCAAATTTTGGTTTCCCGGGCGTCTCTAAAAAATAATCTGTCCTACTGCCCTCGATCTTTTTTCGCTCGAAAGGCAAAAGATCGGACGATTCATTTTGTTTCCAATTCGTTGTATGCCTAGAAATATGGTAACGTTGTTTTTTTGGTGAATATATAACATGTTCTGTTCCAATAAAGGATTTTGATATACATAACAATACTTAAGTTACTGAACATCTCCTGTAATCTCTCGATGATGGACTTCCTGTACGTAAAACATACTCTCGAACTTGACAACATTCTATTTCAGACCACTAAGCAAATAGATGGAAATACCAGTTGCATAAATCATGAAGATTGGTGATTCGATTGCTGTATTCATGTCATTACATAACTGCTGCAACATGTTACTTTAAATACAATATTTTAAATCACCACTATCAGAGATTTTATGACGTAATATCTTTACATTATAATGCAAACCTCTGTTGGCAAGTCAATTGTTTTTCAACCGAAGCTTTCATGTTTAACTAAATTTATTTAATTCAGATGGTGGCGAGTTATAACAACAATAATGAATAATGAGCGTCATAATGGTCATGAATGGTCTAGACGCCTCCAACATTATCTTGCCATTGACCAATATGGCGTTGTTATGGTTTCCTTATCGTTTGGCATATGTTACACACCAGTGTACCAGAAGTAAATCTCGCTATCGTGCCAAATTGCATGCTTTCCGCGCATGGTCGATATTCGTTGTATAAACTCGTACTGTATTTAGCAGTGAACAAGGTGAGTTAGTTATAGTCTATGTGTAAGTCTTATGTCGCGCGGCTTTTGGATGCCAAATGGCCATGCTATATATGGAAGAATCGAAGGCTATAGAATGCTGAAGGGAAAGCATGCCCCTATTTTCAGAAAAACAAACATATGCTATAAAGTCAGTTTGACTATTGTGTGTCCGAGCCCAATCATACTAGTATGTAGCTTAATAAAACGTGGTAAGTGTTATATCTGGGTTTAACTATAAGACAAAGAGAGTCCCGTCAACATCCTTGAGCAAAATTGATTCCGCGAAAATAGCTATAACCTGTGTCACATGGAATACGGTATATAAGCCCTGGGTATTGTATCATGTTGAACGCGTGTGTACGGTTAATGAAAGTTTCGAAATGCATATTGAAAACATTAATGGTGGGTGATTTATTCAAATCTGCATAACGATCACTTCATCATCTACTGCTGAACATAAAATAGTTTGAAAGGAAATAGCTGATATTCTGTTGGTACTGGTTTGAACCCATAGTGTTTTTTGTTTGTTTGTACTATTAACCTTGGTAATAATATTTATTCAAGGTGAAACCATTTGGCATAGTTCTCATATATTTGAAGAACTCTGGGAAATGTTTCAATATTATTGTTAAAATGTTGTCTCAGATTTATAAATAAAAAAATCCATTTTTAACAATTATATTGTGGTACTGTTTGGGAAAGCAAGTGAAACATTCTAATCAGTTCCTATTTCCTATTTTTGTCAAATGCTATTTTTTACTTCTTCGTGAGAACAGCAGGTTATATTTTTAAATACCTCGTATAATTTAATCATTTTGAGGCAACTCCAATTCTCATTTTTGTTCTGGCTTGTTCTTGAAATAGCTAACCCAAACCATTTTGCTATACATAACCATTATTGAGTTGGACGAGAATCGATTTGATTTAATCATTTTGTGTCGTTATAATAATCATCATTTTCGACGTCTTTGTTAAATCTAACAGTCGCATTTTGTTAATACATGATAAGATTTGGTAGCAACGTCAATTCGCATTTTTTGTAAAAAAAAAAAAAAACACATAGCCAAAGTATTTTGATACATGTGTAAGTACATTGACATCTAATTTCACCATTGATTGATTTATAAGAACTTAATATATTTAGTGATATGAAGTATTGTATTAGGGTAGGGTATTAGGGTATTTCAAATCAAAACATTTCATACAATACCATAACATCCACCATATTTTATAAAATATAGTCATACCCATGGATATACAAATTAATATAGAGGAATTACAAAACAGGGACAATTGTCAATAAGTACAATACATGATCAAATAAAGTGTTTGGAATAAGTTAATTCATTCGAATAATGTCTCATATCAACTCATGACGTGCGTGCGTGCGTAACATAATCCCCTCCTTAGTAATATAATTACCATATTTGTCTTAATAAAGTTTTTTAAAAACGTTTTAATTATCAAGTACATTATTTGTATAGCATGTTCTGCTTCTGTACTCTGAAAAGTGCTCAGATTATAACGACAGTAGTTGTGTTATCTCGCCGTTGAAGCCCAGTCTACTGGTAACATAACTCCTGTTATCTCGTCAGCAGAAGAAGAACACAGAAAAGCTGCAACTTCGCCTATCTGAAAAGAAAGTAGATATACATACATGACTACAAGGCCTAATAATTTAATAGAATTACAAACATGTCATATGGAGGAATTCTATATCTTCAATTATTATATATGAATAAACTTACAAGCACTGTTTATGTCTTGTGTCATCAGCTGTCTTTCGTACCCAACAATATTGAAATAACAGTTATATTTAATTTACCTTATTGACGTCCAGTGCTTTTCCAGAAGGATTTAGGCTTCTTGTGACCATGTTCTAATAATAATAAAAATAATATTACAATTATCCGCGATAATAATAATAACACAACATCAAGTACAATCCTTGGTAAATGGCGGCTAAACTAGATCGTCGCGTGTGAATGTGACTGAAATATTCTTGTATGCTCGTTTTTGACCAAATATTCATTTTCAGTATTTACAATTTGTTGGGTTTTAACATTTAACAACATTTAATTATTTCAGACATGCCAGCTTTGAGCTGACCTTGGAAGGTACTAACGTTAGTACCTTCCATGTCCTGACCTAATGGCTACCCAGTATAATATAATAGCAGATTCAAAATGTATTTGGTAGTGTATATGTAAACGGCATTCCACAAATGACGAACAAGCGTATTTGGAACAGTGTATATTAAACTTTTTAAGATTCATGGTTGAAAACTGTTTCGAATTGTGATACCTTCTTTGTCTGTATACGTTCATTAAAGGGCGCCGCCGCTCTTGGAGTTGTACTTCTTGACTAACATATTTAAAAGTACACTCGGGCCAGATTGTTGCGTAGGTCTAAACATCTTTAATGAATGTGTTAATCGATATTTAGCCAAGTATAGTTTATACATAGTTATTTTCGGTCAATTTCAAATGTTAATATTGTCATGCAACATCTACAACAATACCATAATTCTATTTAATGGTCAATATGCAACTCAATTACAAAATTGTTTGAACCCTTGAGTAGTATTGACGACCGAATAGACGTCAGCGCGAAGAAAGAGGCTTACATAACCCTAAAAGACCACAAACCGAACTTCGCAAATAACCCATCGTGCAGACTAATCAACCCAAGCAAATCTGAAATAGGGAAGATAAGCAAACAAATCCTGGATAGAATTAACAAGAAAATCATCAAAGCTACTGATATCCACCAGTGGAAAAATACGTCCTCCGTGCTAAAATGGTTCGACAACATCGACAATAAGCACGCTATAACTTTATTTGTTTTGACGTTGTGGAATTCTACCCATCCATAAACGAGGATCTATTAAGCAAAGCGTTACGTTTTGCCTCGGCTTATGATAATATCCCGGATGAAGAAATAAACATAATCACTCACGCCAAACAAACATTGTTGATCACAATCAATCGCCGTGCAAAGAGGGCTCACACGTTTGATGTACATGGGAGTTTCGACGGCGCAGAGACGTGTGAACTTGTGGGCTGCTCCTGCTTTCCAGCTCAAAGCACAGTTAAA